TAGTTGGGCAGATCAGTTTAACCCCATAACTAGGTAAGATGGTTACAGGGGGTGAATGACCCTCAGAGACACAGGCACTAGTGCGGGGATGCTGCTGCAGAGAGAGAGATAGCTCCATATCTGACAGTGGTCTCTCTGGTGCAACGTGCAGGGACCAGCGTACAACAGGCACACACTTCCCGGAGAGACCGAGCCCGTGGAGCATGCCAAGGAGATCCTGATCCTCCGGCACAAGAGCCTGCAGGTGGAAGTGAGAGGAGGTGATATGGTCAGCTCCAGGAAGGAGGTAAAAGGCAGCAGTGAACGCTTGGACTTGCAGAGACCAAGCACAGGATGCTTTCCCTGTGCAAGTATAACAAGTGCTAGGAATAGTGCTGTTTAGCACTGGTGGTATTTCCTTTTAAAGTCAAATCCCGTTACCATAAATTTAAAAAAAAAAATGTCTCCATCCTAAATTACATTCCAGTGAGTAAGAAATATTAAAAATAAACATAAAACAAAACCAAACCCCAACCCAACTCCTGACAAACAAATGAGCCATCTTGCGTGCAGCGCCGTTCAGTGCTTTGTGAACACAGGCTTCTATCCATGCTACGAAAGTTATTTACTGAGCAAATGTTAGTAATTGAGCTTCAGTCTGTAGATTCAGAGGTCTGTTTTTCCCATATTTTCTTTTCTGGGAGATTTCGTCGAAAGCAGGAATTTGGTTCACCCATTGTCAGCAGTCCAGATGGACTGTAAATATTTGAAACTTTTCAGTGTTCCCCCTCCCCAACTCTTTGAAATGACAGAAGTATTATTGGGAGATTTCTTATTTATTCTGGAGGTGAACTTTTTGTTTTTAAAAGCAGCTATGGTTCTGGACAGACTTGAAGAAAGTAAAACAGAGGGAAATGTTGCATACTGGATTCCTGGAAGAACCACTTTGAGTCCAAATTCACTGCTGGCACAGCTCCATGTCAGTTCATATTATGATTAGAGGAGAAACAAGGCAAATATAATGTCTATGGCTGATGAAGACTTTTGCTGACTTCTTTGGAAATCAGTGGAAGAAGCTGGGCTAACATTTCCCCATGGAAAGACAAAATGGTCCAGGAATGTTGCATGAGAGCAGGCTTGGTCTTTTCAGTTCTTCCCGTCCTCTGTAACTCTTGCTCTAGAGGAAAACCAATTCATATTTTGTTCCCAAACCTCCAGTTCAGCAGCAGTAATTGCTGAGCCATCCCTAAATTTCACCTGCTGCTCTGAATCTTAGGTTTTGATAGCTTGAGCTAGAGCAAACTGTGGTCTCTAATCTGGGCAGTAGGGCTTCATCACTAAGGAGAAAAGAATGACCTTTTAAAAGGAAATTATTTATCTTTCTTTATTTAGATAGTGATTTTCCATGACAGCACAAGAACTTGGGACTGCTGCAGGCTTTCTTCTGCTCTGATTTCTTTGTTCAAATGCCAGTCATTGAAGAGCCCAGCGAGAATGGCAGTAATACACCAAATGCTGATGCTTCTCAGCCCTTCATTCCAGAAAGGTGTTCCGGCTCTTGCAAACAACTTAAAAGATTTAATTTGATCATTTACATGCTGATTGGTACTTACAATTCAAAATAGATAGGCAAGAACATGGCATGTTCCTGTAGAACATTTGGTATAATTAAACTTCAAAAGAACAACATCAAACTAGGGCTGATTTTGAGCACGACGTTACATACTTTAAGGACATTTGATTGTTAACCCTTGTGCTCCTGCTTTACCCTTCGCTGCTGCTCTCGTTAGGTACTGCAGTGGTTTTGGAAGGAAATATTGCACCTTCGGGAGCATTGTTTCTCCTGTCTAAGAATGCTTAGAGCTGGCCTTTCAGAGAAAAGCATATTTTGGGGCAATTGCAGAAGCAGTAGAATTCACTCTCTATATATGCTGACTCATGGATGGTGGCTAATGCCCTAGGGGGGTGGCAAATGCTCCTATGGATTTTGCAAAGTGCCAGTTTGATGCTGAGTACTGCTGTCTCTAGCAGTCATTTGCTGGTGCTAATCCTACCTCTTTACAGCAGCTACCTTTGCTTTGTGCCAGTCCAAGTGAAACAAGTGTAAATACAGAGGGCTGGTTCCAGTGACATCTGTAAGGGAGACTCTAAGCCCAAGAAGGATCCCTCTGCACCCAAAAGTCAGATGTGTTGTCTCTGATCGTCAGCTTGTCTGTCAATGTTTTAGAATAGCTGCCTCATTTTGCTGCAAATAGAAATAAGGTGATACCCAAAAGCGATGGGATAATGTGCTTAAAGTGCCCCAGAATATTAACACGAGGTGGGAGGGTGAGTGAATGCTGTTACTTCACACTGTAGGAGGACAGATTGCAGAATTCGTCAGCAGAAAGAAGGATTGCTGTGCTAAAAAGTAGATCTCGGCCCATTGAAAGCAACTCAATATTTTAAATTTTTGGGAAAAATTAAACCACTCAGGTTTAATTCTGTGCCAAGTTGACAAGCAAATGGCATTTTCCTATTTCAAAAATAGATGAATGAAAAACATAGCTAGCTAGTGTTTGAGATATTTCTAATTGTCAGAGGCTTCATCTCTTGTAGTCCCAAAAGGATGTGTTTGGTCTTGCAGGTTTTGAGTCAGCAAGAAAAATATAGATGCTGTCATGCCACGCGTTTTTCTGTTCTGCATTTCACCACCAGATGGAAGCATTACAACTGTGTTTGCAAACCCAACTGGAAATCAAGGCACTGTGAAACAAACTTTAAGCAAAGGGCTACTGAAAACCCTCTGGTGCTGGTGGAATGCCTGCACGTCTTCTGCTGCCAGTCTATTCGATATAAGCTTTGATGACACATTCAATCAGCTCAGTGTTATGCGCTGAGTGAATCCTTAAAAACTCCCTTTGGTTCGGTAGAAACACTCCTGCTTCTGCTCGCTGGCTGCTTATATATTTTTTCTTTTTTAGTGAAGTTGCTTACTCCTTTGCTATTGAAATATAAAGCTGTTGCAGCTCAGTTGGATTCATCTCATAATTTATTAGGTGTGGGTTGGCCTTTTCCTCCTGTATCAGTCACCACTACATAAGGGATGTATGGAAGAGCATATAGGTCTGTGGCTCCACTAGGCTCGAGGGGAACCAGCAGTGAAGTTCATCTCGCCTGATGGACAATCCGTCTCCCTCCACCACTGTTGGTGGAGAAACCAGTGCCCTTGGCAGGACAGGCACCAGTCTGTGGCCAGCATCAGGTCACCTCTAATCTCTAAACTGGGTGGCTTTAGGTGCCTTAGGGGTCTACTGCAATTTAGGTCTCTACCTTTGCTTTTACAGTACTGAGAGATGTCTCTTAGGCTGTGTTAGAGCCCCTGCCAAGGAGAGGTTGGAGGGTGAATAGGGAAGGCAGAGAGAAGTAAGAAAAGAACAATCTTCATCCTTCCTGAACCAACGGTGCAGGTTAAATGATTTACACCAGGCAGAAAAACCTTGGCAAGACTACGAGCTGATTTCAGATCTGAATCATAGCCCAGAGGATTAACTCCAAGACTATCTATTTCCAGCAGAAAACTTGCCTTCCTTCGCCTAAGGACAAAATTCCTGCCGAAGGCTGCTGCTTCCTGGAGCTGTGCATCACCCTGGCTCTGAATGCTGTCTGGATTTTGGGCTTGCCTTATTTTAGGCAAGGATCCAACACAGAGTACACTGGCAGGGCCGTTTCTGAGGCCCAAGATAGCTTTTATTTACCGCTGAGCACCCAGAAAATCCTTGCACCTGTAGCCAGGCAACTTTGGCCTCTTTTCTTCTGCCAAAACACGAGTACACTCCCCCAGAAGGAGCTTATTTGGAGCTGCCTGTAAGCCATGTGCACAAATGACATACTGCCTTTGGTAATTATGTCAGAGCCCTTTCATGGAGCATGCTCTGAGAATCATTAAATGCCCCTGGGAATGGCTTTCCAGGGAGCCGGGTGCTGCCGCTTGAGCCTGGAAGGCATTGTTATTAAAATGGTCAATAAAAGTGTGAACAAGGGATGGAGGGCATTCGTCCTCGTTAGGGGAGGGAGGAGAACGAACTCAAACAGAATGGAAAACCAGGCTGGGAGGTGTCCAGAGTTATTTTGGCAGTCTGGGTTGCTGGACCTAGGTGCCAAATCACAGCTGCATCAAGAGGTTTATTCCCAGTTTACAGAAGAATTGAACAATTCAGGCAGAATTGTGCTACCTGAGGGGTTCTCCGCCTCCCCTCCCCCCCCCCCCCCCCGCCGCCAACACCATCTTTTTCTTCCT